AAAATTAAAAATCTTACTGATATTTTTTTTGTAAATTAAATTTCTAAGCGCAAATTTGATAGCTTTCTTCGAATACAACGTTTATATAACGATCTCAATTATAATCCATATTACACAATTTTTGCAAATATTCGTCAATATTCTTGAAATATTTACTAATTTATTAAATCAAAATTTTCTATTAGTTACGTATCTGCAAAATAAGCTAATGAGAAATATTGCGAATTTCCAAGCGTTAATCTTCTTCCAGAACTAGCACTTGTTCTAACTCTAGTCATACCTATCTTCTAATTTGGGCATTTCCATACTCAATGGACCCGTTCTCACTTGCAACATATATCTTAATAAAGCGCGACGTAAGATAATTTTCTAAGTTATTTCACAACTGTTTGCAAAGATAATTGGCATCATATTCAAAAATCATAAAAATAATACAAGTATTAAAAATCTTTTGTATAGATAACATGGCATTTTATTAGCATTATACATGTATTCATTATATTAATATGCAGTAATACTGATTATCACAGCGGAATTTATGAGCCGTATGCAAGTTGAGTTTATACAATTTGTTTTTTTTTTTCAACTATACCTCTAAAAGAATACGTATGCGAGATAATTGTGCCTTCGATAACGTAATAATCAGAAATATGCGAGATACATATACACCCTTTTTTTTTTTTTTGCTAGAAAAAACTCCGACATCCCCTAAGACATTGCCTAAGGCTGACACTACTGTTTATTGATTTTACCCACGGTCCACCACAACAAACTATCACACATCAAAGAAGTCATTAGGGATTTACCGGTTGTTTTTTGTCCTATCTCTTTTGTATATTGATACACAAATGTCGTAAAAATTTGATGTTTGCGCACAAAATTTCCCGTCTATACATATTTATTATCACCATTATTTGAATAATATCTAGAAAATTTTCTTCCCTTTAACTAAATCAAATTAATTGCTTGCATAATTATTCAGCATCTAATCGACGAATTATGTACAAAATCTCGTGCGCCGTTTGAACATCTTTCCCAGATCTGTCAAGATTTGATAATGAAGGGCGTCCGGGGTGCATAATACAGTATCTATTTAGACGCGCGTATAAGAAATCATTATAGTGTCCCAACAATTAATGCAAGATCTGTTGATTTTTTTCAACAAGGATTTTTTTTTAATAACGTTACTAAGAAAGAGAAAATCATTCGATATTTATTATTATATAATGATCGAAAAAATTAGTAATATTTGAGAAAGAATAACTATAAATTTAACATTAGATGAGAATTTACCTTCAAAAAATCTGATAGTTTCTTTAACCTATAAAATAAGATAGGAAATCATATGAACAAATAAACACACATATATGTACAATATGAAGATTTACATAGTGCATACCCTTGAAATAAATTCTATTGTTCTTCAATGACCAACAACGTCAACATGGTTGTACTTTGTTACGCACTTGGTCTTTGGGTTTTTGCGCGTACCAATTAGATTAAACTATTAGGTGAAAAGAATGCGCCGACTGTTTCGTTCAAGTCTTGCCAAGCGTACCGCCTGATCAAAATGTGTGTGAATTAATGAATCAATTTTTTTAACTTTGATTCAGGGAAATCAAAATAAAACGTGAAAGACAATTTCATTCTGCTAAAACATTTATCCCCCTTATGCAATATTAAATCATGCTACTTTATAAATGCGTGATAAACCTTTTTAATAGTAAACCTTGTTTTTATTACCTGGCATAAGAGAATTGTAACGTCTTTCTTTTAATATAGAATAATCTTATCGGACAAGTAATTAATATTACTGGTTAAATTTTTTTTTTGCTTATAAACTTAAACTCTCTAAATTTATCAAGGTTTAAAAATAATCGCACATGAATGAAATTTTATCCTTGGTATCTCTTTTTTTGTGCTTTTACTCATTTACCGTTACTCATTCAGGTTTAAAAATAGTTTGTCATTATTTATCTCATTCTCTCATTCTCTTCACTTTTTGTCTTATTGATATTCTCCGCATTACGCGAAACTTTAATAGCAAGCACAAAAGCGTAATCATAAAACGGGCATTAGTATTTGTTGCACATCTAAATGAAGAATTAGATAGATACGTGCACACGCCCACAATAAGGAAAGACGAAAGAGCGAGAACAAACGCAAACACATATTGTTTCGTTTCTTTTTCTAGAGCATTCAATCAACGTACGCACACACAGATAAACAAATTAGGCCTGAATGAAAGGATGTAAATGGAAAAGATCATGCCTCGAATTGTATTTATGACTCTTTAGTCTATCAGCTTATAATGTGAGCGTAACATTTGACAAAGTGAAGTATTATCATTCTAATCGTTAAAAAAAAAGGTACAAAATGAAGTCTAAATTGTGCTAGAATGTGTTCATATTTGTTCCCTATCATTATTATTCGAAACACACTATTCACTCTTACTCGTTCATTAAAAGGTTTTTCACTTTGACAGATTTCTGGTAGGTCGAATTCTTGTATTTAGACCTGTATTCTTTCTACTATCACCATTGTAATCCTTTTCTGAATATATTGAAAAAGTAATAAACAAATAAAGAGGCGACTCCTGTTTCAAAAAATAATTAATAAAAAAAAAAAGGATTTATATTCTGGCGTGAGAATGATGAATGGCTATGGTCATAGATGGTCAACTTGATATTTTTTTGACTCTCGTATTATTAATCAAAACTCATGACATTAATAATTGTGTGAGAATTTACTTTATATAGAATCTTTTTGAATTCCTATCTCTATTTATTTGTTTTATCATACCTTTCATTAAAAAAGGAAATTATTAATATATTTATTGCTTGCTTGTAATCTCTTCTAAATGAAAAAAACAAGTATTTTCACTATTTTAATAATGGTTAATGAAAATCAATCAATAGAAACAGGGTAAAACAAGTAAATTATATGTAACTTTGCCACGTTAAATAAAATGAATGAATGACGTATAGCCAATCAAATAATTTAAACAGATCTCACGGTAACCAGGAGTATGGTGCTCTATTAATATATGTGTTTTCCCTTCTACATACATGAAAGGTTATTCATGAATGCTTCATTTATTAAATTTCTTAATAATGACAACCTTATGCGTCGTCTATTTTGAAAGTTTAACATTGTTTGCTAAATCGAAATGTTCGAAACAAATCTAATTCGACTTTTGGAGGTCAGAGCTAATTTTTATTTGTCTATACGTAAAGATTGCATGCATAGTAGATAGTAAAAAGATGGATTGGTCATATTCTCCTGATTCTTTTTTTTTGGTTTGGTGTTGAGTTTTCTATTGAAACTAAAAGTCTTGTGTTTTCAAAACGTGCATCTAATAAAACTTCAATGATTCCATTCTATAATTCTATTTTTCCCACATTTATGCAAGAAATCAAAAACACAACCGAACTCATTTGTGTATAATATTTAAGGACGGAGTTCAATTCTTTTCTCTTCCGCCCATTTCAACAATGATGTCATCGGGATCGTGTGTATCTATAAAAGGTATGTTAAAGTGTAGGCAAGGAATGAAAAAGGAAATGCTGGTTAATCTGAATTGGATTAACTTAATTAAATGAATGAGATGCCTTTTTTGTATAATGAAATGAAAAATAGAAGTCCTCGGTTCGCAATATGTTATTTGAAGAAGTAACGTATCCAAAGCAGTGCATGAATGCTACGAATACACACTATCGAGTATATCAAGAGTTAATGTATCAAACGGGTTGCACACGTTCTAATTTACTATTAATGATTAAGCGTTAAAACCATCGGATATACCATAGATTATCTTTTTATTATCGAGAGATTACTTGAACAAATCATAAAATTATTTGCTGTATGAATATATTTTTATGAACCGAATTAGTAGACTGTATGAGTACATTTTTATGAACCAAAATTAGTAGATTCAATAACGATACTACTTCAATGGTTATAGGTATTAACGGGCGATTTATTCCGATTAGAATAAATACTGTAATGCGCTCGTGTTCTCCGTTCCACCCTATCTAGCGCTCAAACTCAACTTCTCCAACGCGGCGCATAAATGAACCGGGATAACAGTTCTGCATCAGAATTAGATAAGCCATGAAAGTTTTTTCTGCATCAATAGTCACTCAAAATCACGTGCGAGTAATTTAATGCAAACAGGTTGGCCTTGGATTTTAATGAAAAAAGTTTCTGATCAAATGCTTAATTTTGAATCAAATTTTAAGTTCAAATCAACAATAATAATAATCACATTATAAACACAAAATTGTTTTTTTGTTTTCAACTTTGTACTAAACATGAGACACAAGTTTATTTACGATGTTTCGAAAAAAGATAAAAATGATTGACTAATTGCTTATTGATTTTTTTTTAATATTTGCCAAGTTTTTATAAATGCAAGAAATATTATGTCTATGTGTCTATATGTACAAGGTTGTGAACATTAATTTTACGAAAAAAGTGACGACGATTAATATTAATATGAGAAAGAAAGAGCAAGCGATAAAAATGAGATTATAATAATGATGATAAAAAAAAAATAACGAATAAAGTAATTGAGACTAGATATTAAATATATAAATGATAAAGGTAATAATAGTAAATGTAAAAAATAAATAAAAATAAAAAAAAGTGATGATGTTGTTGCATTAGTCCCCCTAATTTTTTAAATTTCAATCATATGAAGCATTAATTAAATGAAGTGTGTAATTTTAAAGAATATTAAGTAGTTTAGTGAAAGAGAGTGGAGTGATAAATGATTAAATCATAGTGTTGTTTGTTTACATGATTATTCTATCAATTCTTGTTCTATTTATTGTGTTGTCAGCTGCGTAGGGTTTTAATTTATAACATAGAGACAGGCGCATAATTTTGAATAATATCGGCTTGTTTGCTTAGAAGATGTTCTTAAAATAGAAATCCTTATAAGTGATGTGACCATTGATGTGACCAAACATGATTAAAGTTCCAGCATGATGATTCCATTAATAACTGGTCACATCAGGTGCTAAAGCCATTCTCGACAACGTACTGCCACGACGCTTCTGGATTAGTTCGTCGAAAGCCGCCATCTTGGCTTCGTACTCCTTTTTCTTAGCGGCAACTAATCGCTGTCGTCCATTATCATGTATGTTCGAAAACGAATACCTACGAACCACCGAATTGGAGCGTTGCATTGATGATTTGGTATTCTCTTCCGGGTCTGATTCTGACGAAGACGACGAAGCTGACGAGATTGAAATCGAGCTGCTCGTACTACTTGCATATCTACTCGATGAAGAACGACTTCCATAATTCAACGTTGGTGAAGTTGGCCAATTAGCGGTATAGTTATACTCATTATTCATTATATTATTATTATTGCTGATATTGTTGTTGTTGTTGTTGTTATTGTTGTTGTTGTTGTTGTTGTTGTTGTTGTTGTTATTGTTATAGTAAAACGGAACCCATTCTTGAGTATTCGCTCTTTTTCCACGGACTGGGTGAAGTATTTTGTCAATTTTGTTACGCAAAGATTTCTTCTCCATTATTATTTATTATTAAATTAAATATTATATTATTATTAGTATTATATTATTATTATTATTATTGTTATTAGATTAGAGGAATAAACGTTAATAAGGTGAGGAATAAAGATTACGAAAATAATGGAGGAAGGATGTATAACTTTCGAAAAAGTTTACGGAAGGCCTCAAAGAGGGACGACACGAGGATGGCAAAAATGAAGTTGTTGATGTTAGTTTGGATAAAACTCTGTGATAATAATTTTTTTTTGTTCAAAGATGAAGGTTTTTATACGAAAAATTGAAAAATTCCACGTATATATACATCATATATATATATATATATATATTTATTTACTTATATATTTATATATATATGATGTATATTTATATTAATATTAATATTAATATTGATATATATATATTTATATTAATATTAATATAAAATATATATATATATATATATTAATATATAAAATAAAAATTTTCTTTATCACGAATTATTAAAAAAAAGGGGTATATTATAAGGGGGGCGAATAGGAAAACGAACCCACAACCATCCAAAATTTTTTTTATTTATTTTATTTTAATTATATTACCAATAAAAAAAATAAAAAATTTTTACAGTGTGATATTTCCATATGTATTCAGAATTTTGGAATGACTTGAATTAATTTATCTGTATACTATAATCTGAAAATTCAAAAAATCAAAGGGAAAAAAGATAATGAACGATAATTATTCCGATTCGTTCGTTTGCTACTATGGAGTGCGTTTTTCATCATTATATCAGTTCTAAATATTGCATTCATAAAAAAAAACATTTCTCGGCGTGATTACCCAATCATCATGATTTTATGTCATTATTACGGATTATTATTTTATTTTACCGTAGCATATAAAATAAACAAATTAATTCTGACATGTTTGCGGCATGTTAATTTCGAAATAACGAATACCAAAGAATGATACTGAACTTGACGTAATGATAAAAATAGCCATTACATCATGATTACATGGATTCTGAAACATCCTCAGTTATTCAGTTATCCGAAACAACCTTATAGCTCATTGAAGTGCGTTGACAAATGTTTACGATACACCTGAATTCTTATCCCTAGTGAGATCTCGAATAAGAAATTCGACAATAGTCCATATACTAATTCACGTTAGCATTACAAATGCGCGCACATAAAGATAAAATAACAGATGGTAAGGGAAATGAAATAGCTCAATCTTTCTAGTCCACGACTGTTAAAATGTGCGTCCTTGATTGATGCATTCAAATGTATAATAACGAGCCGCATTTCTTTGCTCGAGCTTTCTTTTTTTAGATTCCGAAGATACATAACAGTCGTTAGCTAACTAACCTACGTATATTCATATACAAATTCGTTCTTGAATGGCAATTTTCGGCAAACTTAGTATATAAAAACTCCAAAAAGTAAATAGGATCAACATGATACCTATCTTTCGAGTATGAGATTACCATAAAAATCACCTATATGATATCTACATACATGTATATATGAATGAATGGCATGCGTAATAGCCGAGTAAATAACAAATTCTGTGGCAATTCGAACCATTATCGTGTGAGCTACAGTTATCGCAGGGTTTACAAGAACATAATCACTAAAAATAAAATTTCAAACGGCTAAATTACAAAAATGAAAAATCCTTTCTTTGAATTTCGATTGTTTTCATCAAACACCAATCATTTCTTTCCCGGTATGTTACTTCAACATCACAAAGGATGGCGTGGTTTTTAGATGGTACATGTTCGAGGAAAAAATACAAACCAAAAAATAAATGGGGACTCATTCATCACAAGACTTCCATTTTTGGAAAACTAGCAACAAAATAAACCAATTAAAATACGCTAAGCCAACTTTATAAAATTGTTTTATTGCGCTTTGTTTGTTGCGGGGTAATTTATTTTTTTTTTCCTGTTTAGATTTATTTGTTACTTCTGATGGCGTAGCATAACAATAGCATCGATTGTTATTCAATAAAAGAGATAGATCATGTGAAAATAACATAATGAAGTTGATGAAGTTTAGCGTATCGTCATCACCAATTATTTTTGAAAATTAGTTGTTGTCTTCGACGAGACAAGAGTAATAATAAGTTTCAGTTGAATCCCACGTGTATGTATTTATTTTCATGTATACGTCATAAATATTATTAAATTCAAGTCAAAGAAATCATAGCCAAGAGGTACACGCGCATTATTGTTAAGTTGGAATTACGTAATTATTGAGAATTTATGAATAAATGTAAAGTAATTGGACAAGACCTCTTTTTAGCTAATACAAATAAAAAAAAATTTTTTAGAAGTCATTATCACAGTCAATTAATGGATATGAAAAGACAATTTTCGAATGTCATTGTTGTGTTAAAACATAAAGAGTAAATAATAATTAAATAATGAAATCGGCACCGAAAGAAAGCCAAAATTAATTCAAACTAATCAAGTAGGCCACGCGCAAAATAAAGCAAGTTTTGTGTATGCACTCGTGAGAACAATGTAGAAATTCAAGGAGATTGTCATCACAAAGACCCTTAGTAAAAAAAAAATAAATAATAATCAAATTAAATAAAAAAACCTCTTTATTATCTTCAGAATTGCTGCATGCACATTGAATGGGGAAATGATGTCATTCATCCACCTTTGGGAATTGATCGACTCAGGGAAATTATCTTTTGACACTTTTTATTAATTATTTACTTAAATGTGTAACTAATTTGACAAAAGATCTCGTGGTATATAACACTGTTATTGTTAGAGAATCATAATTTATCCAACATAAAAACGGCCTAAGAAAATTTTCAGGTGACTTCCACGTTATTTTGTCGTTCCCCCTTAAAAAAAATCTATATCAATGACATACCGCGAGAATAATGCAACCCCCCACGTCTCGCAAACAGCCTATTGTTTGTGAATAAACGCTCCCGCGATATCTTTATTATAAGCTAGATTCAGAAAAGCTTCAAGAAACAATAGCGACGAAAATCCCTTTTATAGTATGGTTAATAAAATTAGTTAAATAAAAAGTGAGATTATGTCGATGATTGACTTGTAGTTAATAATATACTAGAAATGGGAATTTTTGACGGAGTGTATTTTTCTCCTCTTTTTTTTCACCATTTGTCTTTTCTTTATCCTCTTTCATTATTGGTATTATCATGCTCGAGACTGATGTCCTATTCTTTGTAATGAGATTACTGCAAGGAGAGAATTAAAATATTTCCCACATATAGATACGTTATCCCCATACATAATGATAGCATGCACACACATATGCATACATTAATACGACACCGAAAAAATGAGGTTCCAATAAAGTTGCGTGCCGAGACTTGTTTGTAATGTCGCAAATTTGATTGAAGAAGTTTTATCGTATAACCGAAACCCTAGTCGAAATCTCCATTAAGCTACAATAAAAATATTTCGACAAACCACGTATGGATTTTTCTATCATAGTTAGAGTATAGTCAAATCAATGCGAAACCTATTTTTCGATAGTGTCACAAGTATTATGTGCACGCTAATCAAACACATTGTACACATTTTTATTTACGCTTACAAGAAATGATTGGATATTTGGTAATTACGCAGACTTTTTATGCTAGGTTATAGGAATCAGCAACACAAGCATGCAAGCAAAATTTGATGATGATGATGAAGAAGAAGAAGAAGATGATGATTATTTATTATTATTATTAGCGCCTATTTTCGTTCCCGTATCTCCGCGACTTTCATTCATAATAATTGTATGCGTCTTATGTCTGCCTATCTCATAAATAGTTAATTGAGTATTGAATTTTAAACTAAAAAAAAAAGTAAATCTCTTGTGTGCTACGATTTTAAAAGTTAGGATCCGTCATGAATTTGCCACGTTTTGCTTTTATGGAATATAATTAGTCCATTGTAAATCTCATTCGAAAAAAAATTTTCAAGCAAAAAGATCAGGACTTTCAATCTTGTAATCATTTTTTGCTAAGTTTAGTTTTAAATAATAATAATGTACAGTAAACCAAAACTGCGTAAATGAAAATTTTGTAAATGTCGCAGAATTGAATATCAAATAATAATGAGATCTTAATTCGTCTTCTGTAACTCGACGACATGTATTTAATCTTAATGAATAAACAATGAATGATAAATCGGGATACCCATTCTAGAAAGTTCGTGAAATTGCTTGATTATCAAAAGCAGACCTGTTGTTATTTAAATATAAATATAAATATAAATATAAAAATAAATAAACATATATTTATTTATTTATTTATATTTTAAATTTAAATATATATATATATATATATAAATATCTCGGAGAGTAGAGACCGCATAAATGAAGAAATAAAATGAACTACTATTTCAGGTATTCACAAAGTAATATATATATATATATATATTTTTCCACCTTATGCTTCATTATATAATCGTTTGGTGTGCATTATATCAATTATTTGGTCACCATCAACATTGTTTGTTGAATTTTTGCGTTTAAGTTACAATTTATAAAATCGTTTGAACCACAAGAAGCACATAACAAATAGCATTTTGTAACAAGTTTTCTCTATAATAAATAATATTTTCTAGACCCGTGTCAATAATTTGTTATATAAAAAATAAATATATTAACCCATGACACCTGTTGCATCGATGATGACTATGTACACATCAACAACGGGAGGGATGAAAAGAAATTTCTCATTCTTTTTATGACAATTTGGTATTTATCATTATCATCATGATGAACACATGTAATGCAAAATGCGCACGCAAATCATCGACGAATAAACTTGTTATCGAGGCAAAGGGAATATTTCCTTAACATGTATTTGATATGCACACACGGTGCTTATATAATTATTTGGTATACCATATGGACCATTGTTATCGTAAAATATAAAAATATAGTGTACATGTACACAAAGTTTTTACATGTACATGATTTTTTGCTGAAGAATGCATACGACATATGTCTATCAATCGAGCGAATGAAAGAAGAAGGGATATATATAGAATTGTAACAATTATGACTGGATAATGCAAAATTTTGCAAAAATTTCTTTTTAAACATAATGAAAGAGAGTTGAGTAATCAATTATTATGTTCTGAAACGAATGATGTTGTATTTTCTCTTTTTCTTTATTCAAGTTTTAATTCTGAAACATACATACATACATACACACATACATATGAATAACGTGGCAATTATTATGGCGCATCACGAAATTTGAAATTCATTCTATTAGGCAACCATCAATTGTTCATATTTAAGAAATAACCTGTCTTACCTAATTACTGATTTTTATAATCTTGCGAATGTAATCACATTTTTAACCAATGCTCAAAAAATGAAAAACACATCTCAACTCAATTGAGGTGGAATCATGAGCATGAATCCCTTCTCGAGACAAATTTTCACCAATACATAACGATAACGATGAGATTTGTTTGCATGAAAAAAAATTACTTCTTATTATCGTTACACATTACTTGAATGTATGTGTAACTCCTTAAAATGATGCGGGGATGCATTAAAATTTGATTTCCAACGATTTTGTTTCACGTTGTATGAATCGCTTTACAAGCACCCCGATCTTGCTTGCATTAATCATTCAGCAAACACAGATCGAGCAATATTGATTGGTTCCAAGCACAGAGGATTTTCGGACAATTTTATTTTAATTAATTGAGACATGCAAGCGATGCTCTCTATATTTTCTTTACCATTTATGTTTGTATGATACAATGATGATGATGATGATGATGATTCGACGCTTACTAAGCTTTCGATTGACATGTGCAAGGACCACTAAAATAATTATAAAACTTTTTCGTCATAAAATTATGGATTTTAAATACATGTATACGCTTAATGACGTAAACATAGAACTAACATATGCATAACAAAAACTCTTTGCTGCTTGAATCACGTTTAACAACTTTAAATTTTAGAAGCTTCTTTATATCTTAGAATGTAGGCACTACCAAAATTAATAATCACAATTTTCCAGTTCCCGACTTATTATGAAACAGAAACACAAGAGATATGACCTTCACAAAGTCATTACCTTCTATACTCAAAGTTTTTGAATACTCCGAGAAGGTGCGATTACATAGAACTTGTGCACTTATTTTTCCAGTCTCGTGAAATCATATTTTATTGAAAGAAAGTTCTCATTTGAGCTTATTAAATGCATTTTCAAACTTTATCGGGGTTGGCTTGCTTTGTGTCCCGAGAATATTTTAATTAATTAGCTGCACTACATTATCCTGTAAAAAATCTCGACGTATTTTATTCAAAATTACCCAGAGCTGGCATAGGTCCAATAATATATATATATCACAGATTCAACGCATAATTTAATTTAATTTAATTTAATTTAATTTAATTTAGTTTCATAATGAGCCTCATCTAAATGTCTCCCTTTTTTACATTGAATCGAGTGCTTTAAATATGTTGCATAACATTGTTAAATGCTCTCTGTGGTACTCCCATATGTATAGTACCAACTTTTTGTAAAATGCTCGTGATAATATACGATATTTTGTATTTGAGTTATATTAAAAAAAGTTTATTGCAATTACATCTATATTTGTAGATCCAGAGATCGATAAGTTAACTAAGAACACAAAATTACAGAGTTTTTAATAAACATTAAGCCCCCCACTTTCGAAATCATGCTTGTCTTAATATGGGAAAAATCAAATTTTACATAATTTTGACGTAGTTTAATGAGTATTGAAATTTTTTGATAGAGATTTGTTAATTATCGCAAAGATATCTCATGCGGAAAAGAAATATTTCTATTCTGAAAGATATGTAGAATTCAGCGATTCCTGAATTATTTGTAGCAAGAGTTACGATAATTAATAAATTAAACATAAAAATCGGATAATTTAATTTAAAGAGAACAATAAAAATTTGAATTTTGACCAGAAAATTTAAGCAAAGGTTGATCTTTTATAACAAATAAAATTGTATAAGTAACAAGCTCAAAGAATTACATATAATTAGTTTCTCTTAAAAACAAAAACTGTGTCTCTCTGTATTTTACCGAACCCCGGTCTGTAGATCAATCCAGTCATTGGTTCGAAAATTGTGAACCCGGTTCTTGTAATATTCACGACCAACTGTTCAAAATCACGTTAATCACGTTGTACACGACATAATCGGATCAGTGTGTGTTACATGGAAGGTGGTTTTAATATGGCCGTTTTTGTATTAACGTTAACGTGATGTTAAACGAGAGTTAAACGAGATTATTAATAATTAGTGAAACAAAAAAGCTCCAAGTAGAGAATGTTTATCTTTATTCCCATTTAGTAGACAAATTTAGTTTAGTCCATAATTTTTTCCACATTAGAGGGAAATATGTTAACAGCAAATTTCGCATAGGTGAATAAAACAGAGTAATTAATTGGAGTAAACAATAGATACAGGTAATTTTTTCTTGGATTTCGTTCTAAAAAAACTGATCAACATATCTTTTTTTGAGCTATTGATTGATAATTTTTCAGTTAAACGTTTAATTAATTCGTAAACGTATAAACAAATACTTTGATTATTTTAAATCCAAACAATAATGAAAAATGAATATAACAATAAAACAGTTAAAAATGTGGTATTATTCAAATATCTTTTCGAAAATTTTTTAATTTCATAAAATTTATTTAAAATAAGCGGGATCATGGATTTGAACGAATACTCTAATTTAATCCATCTTTATTTAGAAGAATTGTTTCGCAAATAAATAAATTTGACTTCACAGTGTAATTCTTAAAAATCTTAATTATAGTCTTGAGGTTAAATTAGGTTTAATTTTTTTACAAGGAGATATTATTAAAAATCTTTAATTATAGTCTTGAGGTTAAATTAGGTTTGATTTTTTTTACAGGGAGATATTATACAAAGCGTTTTACAGCATTTTTGGTTAATATCAACTCCAATTATTCTTGTATTACCTAATAATTTATTAAAATTCACCATTCAATGATTGCGAATATTCGAACGGCCGTCTTATGTTTCTTATGATTGCACCAATTCAAGCTCTGACTAATTACATAATTATTATGTCTCCTCGGTGGATGTAAAAAAGATCGATAATATTATCCCAAATAAGCATCCACGTCTAATTTCGGAGATTTACGGTATGC